ACGTAAATGAGGTCTCAGAAGGAAAAAGGAGACTAAGGCAGAAGAAATACTTGAAAAGATAAAGGCCAAGAATTTTCCAGAAATAATAAAAGATACCAAACAGATTCAAGAAGCTTAAAGAAATCCCAAGCAGGATACAATAAAACAACAACACATACCTGCCTAGCCTCATCAAACAGCTTGAAGGCAAACAGAGGGGGTAAAAAATACTACATACATAATCAAGAACAAAGATAAGAATTACAGTAGATCTTATCAGAAACTATGCAAGCCAGAAGACAATGTTTTTCACTACTTCAATGCTGTAAAAGAAAAAATTTGTCAGAATTCTATATGCAGGAAAATTATTTTTCATCATGAAGGTAAAGATCACTATCAACCTAAACAATGTTCTCCATGCCAAACTGAAGATAAATACTGCTAGATATTTTTACTTGAAATGCAATAAACATGGTAAAAAGTGTCTTTGCACTTGAAATGATGTTAAAATATTGAGAGGTTATTTTCCATAATATTCAGACATTTTCCTTAACATTCAAATGAAAGTTTATCTTTATCATCTCCTAAACACACTTCTAAGAGCCCTTCCTGGACTTCCCTGGTGGTGCAGTGGTTAAGTATCCACCTGCCAATGCAGGAGACATAGGTTCAAGCCCTGGTCCAGGAAGATCCCACATGCCGCAGAGCAACTAAGCCCATGTGCCACAACTACTGAGCCCGCGTGCCACAACTACTGAAGCCCGTGTGCCTAAAGCGCATGCTCTGCAACAAGAGAAGCCACAGCAATAACTCTGTGCACCACAACAAAGAGTAGCCCCCACTCGCCGCAACTAGAGAAAAGCCGGCATGCAGCAACGAAGACACAATGCAGCCAAAAATTAAATAAATAAATAAATAAATATAAATAAAATAAAAGCTCTTCCTGTTAACCCTGATACCTCTCATCCAGCCTATGGTTTAGAATACTGTGGAGGAAATGAAGCAATTAAAAGAGAATGAAACAAACCTAGGGAAAAATGCTGAATGAAAAAAAAAAGGTTCTCTCTGAGTAGTAGAATTATGTTTGACTTTTTTTCTTCACAACATCTAAAGCTTCAAATTTTCCATTATGAACAGTTATTATTTTTGTTTCAGATGGAAAAAAATCCTATTACACAAAAATGACAATGTACCATAGTTAAATAATACTGCACTTTACAGACAGGGCTGAAGTCAAGTACAAACCCTTTCTTTCTTCACAGGTGGTGCCTGTACCATACCGGTATGGAGTATCACTGCTAGTTACAGGAAAGTGAATGCAGAGCGATCAAGTAAACACAGTCCTACCTTCTACCATAGCCCTGCCTTTCAGAGTAATAAAAATCAAAAGGGAGCAGCTTATAGCTTACATATTCCACTCATCACCATCTTCTCCAACAATGAAAAAAGAGGCTAATAACAAACTAGGTTTCCAGGCAGCTATTTAAACCCAAAGGCCATAAATACTAAGGTTTGAAAAATATCTGATACGCTGATAATAAAGCACCCAAGACGGTTTAAGGGCCTTTATATACCCTAGTCCTCCCCATTATCCAAATAACGTAGGTACTCCTACTGCCATTTATGGATAAGGAAGTACAGATATCAGAATTTAGATCCTTAAAGATCACTGTCAGGACGTTCCTGGCGGTCCAGTGGTTAAGACTCCACACTCCCAATGCAGGGGGCACAGGTTCGATCCCTGGTGGTGGAATGAGATACCACATGCCGCGCGGCAAAAAGAAAAAAAAAAAAAAGAGAGATCACTATCATCATATGCATTATCCCGAGTCCTTAAATTGTATCCCTAGATTTCCATTGTGTATTTTAATGTCACTTGCTTCTTCACTGCTTATGCCTATTAACAGTGAACAGACCATATTTAATAAAAACCTCATGTAAGAATTATACTTCACTGTGCAAAATAATTTGAAATGGTCTTGTCCCTACCCTTCAGGAGACAAAAATCTTTTGCTTTTTGCCTGCTCCCCACAGCATGCAGGATCTTACTTCCCTGACCAGGGATCAAACCCGTGCCCCCTGCAGTGGAAGCTCAGGGTTCTAACCACTGGACCAGCAGGGAAGTCCCACAAAATCTTAATTGCTCAAAATATTGGCTAATAATACTTAGATTAGCTCTTTCAAACAAAACCTTGCAACTCCTCAGTCAAAATGACTTAATAACTCTATACAGAAATACAAAGTTGGAAGTAAGTTCAGAAAATCCTCACAGGCTGAAAACATACACACAAAACAATTTAGATTTAATAATTCTGATTTCTTCCACAACTGAATTAAAACTAAAATGATTTAGAAAACTCAAATATAAGTATGCAGTAAATATAAAAGAAATACACTACACTAATAAATCCCAAATTCAGGATAACAGTTACCTCTAATGAAAGAATCAAGTGATAAAGGAGGGGTACATGCTGAGGTCTTTAATTATACTGATAATGTTTTGTTTGTGAAGCTGGTTAATGGATACTTGGGTTTGCTATACTACAGTGTACTTCTGTATAGTATCTGCAGTATTTCAAAACACATCTTTTAAGTTTTCAAACCAGATATGACACTCTTTATCTCCCTGAACACAAATGTAAATAATCATTACCATACTATTACTGTAGTTTCTAGAAGAACAACTATATCCCACCACATACACTAAACTTACACACTAACTCCCACCATGACAAGTAAATGCCTTTTGTGACAAAAGACAGTATAACCCATTTTCATCATTTATACAGTGAGGTCAATCCCACCTACCTATCCACAGTAGTATTATGAAAACGAAGTGGGACAAAAAATGAACAGTCCACATGTTCATCAAATGTTAGTTATTATTAGTGGCAACTGCTGAAGTACAAAAATGCAAAAAATATGACGTTGTATGTCAGTATTTACAAACTGTAGGTCTTCACATGTGTACTAACTGCTGACAGTGTATACATTTTCTTCCACTCCTAATTTGTGGAATAACCTTGGGAATGGATACATGTATAACTAACATGGGTGAAATACATATCTAGCTCCCAGAAATGCAATAAATCATGCCAAAAATCTTCAGAGGCAGTGTTTAAAGCTTCCTGTTCTCAGTACAGACTTCTAGTAAACATTATTTATTAGTGTCTACTTTGTGCCTAGCACTAACAGACCCTAGAGATAACAGAAACAAAACACATAATTCCTGCCTTAAGCATTTAGTTTAGTAAAGAAAATAAATAATAAATTTATCTATAGCTGTTAGTAGAGCAACTAACCCAGCTGGAAAGAGGTGTGAAGTATCACCCTATTGATTGGTACTCTCTGCCATATAACTCCTCCTCTTTATCCTTTCCCTTGCCCCCAGCTCTGCTAGTCCTGGTCTTCTCTGAAAGCAGACAGGAAAGCAGTATTTACCCTTTCTACATACTACAGAACTGCATTATTCACTAGGTAACCTCTAAGCCACATGGGGCTATAGAGCACTTGAAATACAGCTACCACAAGGTGGATGTGCTAAAATATACACTGGAGTGCAAAGGCTTAATACAAAGAAAGAATGTAAAATATAGTATCTCACTAATAATTTTTATAATGATCACATCTTGAAATAATATTTTGGATAAACTGGGTAAGTATGTTATTAAAATTGATTTTACCTGTTTTCACTTTGTAACATGGCTACTAAAAAATCTAAAATTACATAGCTGGTTTACATATTTCCACCCAACAAATAATCCATAAAAAAAATTAAAACTGAATACATAATGCACTTCAAAAGTATTCAGTAAGGATTAGCTAAATCTGAACCTTAGATTGAAATTTCAAAAATATTAGCTAAAGTAACCTATAACCATATCTAAATTCAATCTTTTTAAAAATCAAACATGAAGGGCTTCCCTGGTGGCGCAGTGGTTGAGAGTCTGCCTACCAATGCGGGGGACACGGGTTCGTGTCCCGATCCAGGAAGATCCCACATGCCGTGGAGCAGCTGGGCCCGTGAGCCATGGCCGCTGAGCCTGCGCGTCCGGAGCCTGTGCTCCGCAATGGGAGAGGCCACAACAGTGAGAGGCCCGCGTACCACAAAAAAAAAAAAAAAAAAAAAAAAAAAATCAAACATGAAGAAAGAAAGGATCTATGTTGTCAGAATTCTAATTACCTAGGGCATGTGTTTATGGTCTGACAATGACACTCATTAACCCAACAAACTGAAACCACAAACTCTACTTTTCTAGATTAATTAATATTCAGTAAAATTGTTCCTCCTCCTATTACACTGAATTACACTAGAAATAGCCCAGTATACCACAGTTCATCAAAACCATACCACAGCATCAAAACCCAAGCTCTTTTTATAATTACAGAGAAGTAAACTTCAAAACATCCTAAAAACAAGGCATTTACTTATGAGTGCAATTCATTTAAATTACGTGTAAGTGCATTCTTACAGAATCTGACCTCTGGGGCTAAAAGTCAAAGCTCTTGCTCTTTAGTATCTAGAGAGGCCATGAAAATTAATTCATTAGGTACGTGACTCACACTGACCTGGGTTCCTCAACAGTCACCTGAAGAACCAGCATTAAGAGCAAAGAGAGAGTTCCAAAGGCCCTCCTTCCCCAAGCCAAGGAGACTTACGTGGTTGAGAAGGTTCTAAATAGATCAAACCAAAGAGACTATAAATGGACCCAGAGAGACTACAAATGACATCCAGGGGCCCTAAGACATGACTAGGCATTCCCTCATCTCTAGAAGAACTTAAATAAAGATCGGTGCTAAAGAAGCTAAAGAACTATTACTCTTCCACTCAATATTCATATGTAAAAGTCCCAAAGCCCAGGAAATTTGACCCCAAGGGTGTCCATAATATATATTCCAGGAATCACAGAACCAAGACAGCCTCCTTGCCAGTACTTTATAACACAAAATGTTATGTGTGGGCAAGACGTGGCCTTTGAAAAACCGCCTAAACTGCACCCACTTAAGAGTAACCACTTTGAGCACTCGCTTCAGCAGCACATATACTAAAATTGGAACAACACGGAGATTAGCATGGCCCTGGCGCAAGGATTACACGCAAATTCGTGAAGCGTTCCATATTTTTTGATTCACTTTTTTATACAGCAGAAACTAACACAACACTGTAAAGCAATTACACTCCAATGAAGATGTTAGAAGTAAATAAATAAATAAAAAATAAAAGAGAAAAAAATTAAAAATAAAGGTAACCGCTTTGGACGTCCCTGGCGTTCCAGTGGTTAAGAATCCGCCTGCCAATGCAGGGGACACAGGTTCAAGCCCTCGTCCGGGAAGATCCCACATGCCACGGAGCAACTAAGCCCATGTGCCACAACTACTGAGCCTGTGCTCTAGAGCCCACAAGCCACAACTACTGAAGCCTGCATGCCTAGAGCCCGTGCTCCACAACGAGAGAAGCCACCACAATGAGAAGCCCGTGCACCACAATGAAGAGTAGCCCCCACTCGCTGCAACTAGAGAAAGCCCACGCTCAGCAACGAAGACGCAACGCAGCCAAAAATAAATAAATTTATTTTAACCAAAAATAAATAAATAAAAGTAACCACTTTAGTCAAACTGCAGCCTTGATGATTTACAGCTCTGTTTACAGATTTTCATAAGAGAAACAGCTAATCGCATCACAAACAATGAAGACTTATCAATTCTATACATGGTCCAGAGTTAAAGCACAAAACCCCAAACACTTAAAAATAATAATGACCAAGTGTTTCCATATCCCTTGGTATGCTGAAACACAACAAGGACTGACTTGAGCTCAATACCTATGTATAATACAAAGGGATAGTTGACACAATTTCTTTTGACATAAGAGCACCCCCAAAGTGACCCACCCTCAGCCTGGATTAGGTAAGAACCAGTATCTATGGTCCTAGAGAACCCTGTGCCTTTCTTTAATACAGCAACTATCACACATATTACACTTATCTCTTTAATCATCTCTCCCTCACCACATTGCAGGACCCTGATATCTCTGGCACCTAACACATTGCTGGGCATATCTCTGAATGCTCAAAAACAATTTGCTGGTTGAATGTATAATATGGAGCTATGCTGTCCAATGTGGCCTCTAGCCACATGTAGCTATTTAAATATAAACTTAATTAAAATTAAATGAAATTTAAAAATTTAGTTCCCTAGTCACACTTGCCACCTTTCAAGTGCTCGTTGCCACGTACGGTTAGTGGCTGCCATACTGGACAGTGTAGACACAGAATGTTTTCAACATCACAGAAAGTTCTATTGGGCACTGCCTGGAGTGTCCCTTGATTCTGGAGGCATTTCCTAACAGGATTATTATTCTAAGAGAAAAGGTAGAAAGAAAAATGTTTTAAATGTGCATCAAATTCCAGTAGTAAACAATACAACCAAAGGAAAGGAGTTCTTCTGCAAGACTGTCTCTAATATCAACTATGTTTCAAACTTTTCTGATAATTCTTTATTGCTAAAGTTTCATTATCAACTAACCCCCTTCTCCCACATATTCCCCTGTTGTGCCTAAAAGAAAGCCCTTAGTAACAACAAGGGCTGCTGCCCATACTCTAGGAAGGTGAAAAAAAAAGGATATATGAGATTATTTTTACCCTAATCATAGGCTAATAAAAAGGTCCAAAAGGATTTTGGAATTAGTTTAGTCTAGTTAATCAATTTTACAGAGAAAGAGACTGAGCACACAGAAGTAAAATAACCCACAGTAAAGATGTTAGAAGCAGACCAAACGGGTAAGGAAAAACAAAAAGCAGAGTGCACAGAAAGCCAGAAACTTTTATTTTTTTTACAGAATTATGGCATATTATCCAAAATATCAAAATAGTCTATACTTAATAAACAGGAATGATAAGTACTAGTAAAAGGTCAAGAAACTCTCAACCAAAGTTCTGTCTTGTGTAAGAGACCCTAAGTTTCCCCTTACAAACTCTAATATATTATTTAAATGCTTTCACTGGCAGTTTACTTTTTCTTTCCATAATATAATCACATAAATTATTTATTCTCATAGTCAGAATCTATTTACTCCTACTAGTCAGAATAGATTTCAATTAAGCCACAAATATAGGCAGCTAAAACTGAAAGCAGAATATTTACTAGTTATTTTCAAAGGAAACATAATTCCAATGACAAGGTAAGAGTATAAACAAAGAAAGCAAACTAAGGGGAGAGAAATAATTTGCTTCTCAAAAATGAAATCACTTCTGTCACTCTGAAAATGTTATCTGAATGAAAACCACAGTAAGAGTGTTTCTGCTCCTTAACTGATTTTCATTTCCATGACCTATAAATAAAAATATAGAAGAAAGTAATATTAAGTTCTCTTATTACTTCACTATGAGCAAAAGCAAATTCAAGGCAATAAATCCAAAGATGTTATTAAAACAGAGAAAGACTGACAAATATATATTTTTTGCACATAATACTTACGTAGCTTGGAGTGTCCTCAGCCTCGTATTCTTAGGTAAACACTGAATTTTGTTTTTCAAAGGGCACAAATCTCTCCTTTGTAGGAATTTTATATACCTAATTTCTTACACCTAAAGTTATAAGAAAGCTTTTATATCTGCTCCATTAGGTTGAGAATCCGCCTGCCAATGCAGGGGACATGGGTTCGATCCCTGGACCGGGAAGATCCCACATGCCGTGGACTAACTAAGCCCACGTGCCACAACTACTGAAGTCCATGCACCTAGAGCCCATGCTCCGCAACAAGAGAAGCCCGGGCACCACAACAAAGAGTAGGCCCCGCTCGCCGCGACTAGAGAAAGCCCACGCAGCAACGAAGACACAACACAGCCAAAAATAAATAAATATTTTTAAATAAATAAATATTCTAGGCAGGTTTACGGTAATCCCAATAATCCTCAATAACAACAGGGGCAGGCCTATGCGCTGTACACAATAAACTTTGCTGGATTAAGAAAGTTCACTTCAGGGAGTTCCCTGGTGGGCTAGTGGTTAGGATTCCAGGCTTTCACTGCCGTGGCCCAGGTTCAATCCCTGACTGGGGAACTGAGATCCCACAAGCCGCACAGCGCTTCATAACAGGAAAGAAAACAGATAAAGGCTGTCAGTGTCCATTAGTTTTTCAATATGACCAATCAGATACCAGTAATAAAATATTTTAAGTTCTAAGAGGATGTCAGGTGCAAAATGCCTGGTTTGTCCTTTAACTTTTTACCAGGTCTCAGAATCAACCTATTTCAAAAGATAAGAACATCTTCCTCTAGTCATCTGCCAAATCCTATTTCAGTATGAATCTAGAAATGAAACTTAAAGGACATGTCTACTGAGAAGTAAAGGAATCATTCATTTCTTGATCATTAAAAATCGAGAATCTTGGGGCTTCCCTGGTGGCGCAGTGGTTGGGAGTCCACCTGCCGATGCAGGGGACAGGGGTTCGTGCCCCGGTCCGGGAGGATCCCACATGCCGCGGAGCGGCTGGGCCCATGAGCCATGGCCGCTGAGCCTGTGCGCCCGGAGCCTGTGCTCCGCAACGGGTGAGGCCAGGGCAGTGAGAGGCCCGCGTACCGCAAAAAAAAAGAAAAAAAAAAAAAAATCAAGAATCTTAACAAAGAACAGACTTCAAATCCAACAACAAGCAACATGCTAATACTCAAAGCTCTCAGAAAAGGTACAATCCAAATAATTAAGCTAATTTAATGTCATTTATATAATATGTAAGACCTAATTAACTTACAACTGACCATTTCAATTTTCTAGGCTAGGAGTCTTAACTTTAATTATATATCTAAAACTTAAACTCCAAAATATGATTCAGAAGATGTCTGTATATTTTTTAAGTTGCAGAAGTTATTCCAATGAGCAGCCTAAATTGAGAACTACTATCCTAGCTTTAACACATCCCTAAAATTATGCTAATTAAATTGGCATTTTCTTCAATTAAAAAAAAGTAAAAGATGACTTACTTGGGTCAATCAAGTCTAATGAAAATATTAACTAACTTTAGTTTTCAATGACAAAAAATTAATACTTCTCACATTCTTAAACACATCCTCCCAATTTGTTTTACACCGACTTCTCTCATCAAGAGTGTATCACAGGGCTTCCCTGGTGGCGCAGTGGTTGAGGGTCCGCCTGCCAATGCAGGGGACACGTGTTTGTGACCTGGTCCGGGAAGATCCCACATGCTGCAGAGCGGCTGGGTCCGTGAGCCACGGCCACTGAGCCTGCGCGTCCGGAGCCTGTGCTCCGCAACGGGAGAGGCCACAACAGTGAGAGGCCCCCGTACCGCAAAAACAAAAACAAAAAAAAACAAAAAAAAGAATGTATCACAATATGTCTTTGTCAGGTAAATAAAATGTTTTCTAGACATTTGTGGATAACCAACACAATGACAAAACAGTTAAATTGATTTTCAAATTGCAAAGATGGCAATAAACTAATATAAGAGCAGAGAAGGAACAATAAAATGTTCTTCATTTCACTAAAATTCAAGGTTCCAATAGCTTGGGCAGAATTATTTATGAGGCAGATTATAAAAAGATAAAACTAAGAGAAAGCAGTTTTTAGCAACGGATGACAGTGAAGATGACCATTTGAAAACAAGACCAATCAACAAACTGCACAAAATGGGAACTGAAAAAAAGCAGACATATTCAGGGTTAGGACTGAAAATAGTTAACTACTTCCTTGTTTTATGAACGCTTTGAAGCTTCAACTAAGCTCTTCAGCTAAGGAATTAAGAGCAAACAAGTTGTTAGCGACTTCCCTGGTGGCGCAGTAGTTAAGAATCCGCCTGCCAATGCAGTGTTCAATCCCTAGCCTGGGAAAGATCCCACATGCCACGGAGCAACTAAGCCCTTGCACCACAACTACTGAGCCTGCGCTCTATAGCCTGTGATGCACAACTACTGAGCCCGCGCACCACAACTACTGAAGCTCACACACCTAGAGCCCGTGCTGTGCAACAAGAGAAGCCACCTCAATGAGAAGCCCACACAGAACAACAAAGAGTTAGCCCCTGCTTGCCCCAACTAGAGAAAAGTCCGCGTGGAGGAAGACCCAAGGCAGCCAAAAATAAAATAAAATAAACAAATTTATTTTTTAAAAAAA